AGGCTCTGATATGAAGGGGGAAAGGGGAACCTTAGAGTAGAAAGGTTAAGTGGGGGTTGAAAAATGGGAGGGCAGGGCAGAGGAGGGAGTATGAGGAGGGATAAATAGCACTAAAGGCCTTTTTAAAAAGCATGTGGAAACCTTCCACTATAGAAGCTTCTTAAAGTATATACATATACATTATTAAAAGAGATTAAAAGTAGTTACCCTATAACAGGGGGACATTGCCCCTTCTAGACATCATAAGTTAACAACAACAACAACAAAAAAAAACCCTTAATGCCAGGAATAGATTCCCTCTCTAGAAGCTTTTGACCAGGGGTCCCATGGACCCTCAAAAAAATACTGGCCATTGCCCCTTGGTTACCCACCAGAACTTCACAGTAAGGCCCACTGCTGAACATACTACATACATAGCTCAGCAGTTAAAAAGCACTAGCTGTTTTGCAGAAGATTTGGGTTTGGATCCCAGCACCCACATGGCAGCTAACAACCATCTGCAACTCCAGTTCCAGGGGATATGATGCCCTCTTCTGTCTTCTGCAGGCATTGCACGACACGGGTGCACTTACATACATGCAGGCAATACATGCATACACATAAAATAATAAAACATTTTTTAAGGAAAAAAAAGAGGGTTGTAGAGTAGGAAGAGAGACCTGGAGAGATAGCTCACTCAGTTGGTAAAGTGCTTGCTATGCCTGAATTCACCCCCAGAACCCACATTAGAAAACAGCTGGCATGATGATGCATACATCTAATCCCAGTGCTGGAGATGGGGAGACAGGTAAATGGATCTCTAGGGCTCGCTGGCCAACCAGCTTAACCTACTCAGCAAGTTCCAGGCCAGTGATAGACCCTGTCTCAAAAAACAAAGTAGACAGCACCTGAAGAATGACATCTGAGGATGTCCTCTGGCCACATGCACATGCACCATGTGCACACACCTATACCCAGCACACATGAGCATACACACACACACACACACACACACACACACACACACACTAGAGACCAGATGGATATTGCAGAAAGTTCAGACCAGAGATAATAGTACCCATTGTGGGGTAGTGTCTGTGTAGAAGGAGAAATGGGTGCATTTAAGGCATGTCTTGGAGATAGAACTGATGGAATTTGCTGACAGATTGGACCTCCAGGTGAAGGAAAAGGAAGGGAAAACAGATAACTCTTAGATTTATGGCTTGGGCGACAGGGATAGGTGTTGGTATCTTTATTGAGCTATGAACAAAGGGAAAAGGGTAGGAAGGACTGGATGGGAAAATTATTTTTGAAAATATTACAATTATATACAACTGTTACCCTCATGTTATCTTGGCTATCCTGAGCACTCCTATAACTTCATCTTTGTCTTTTTTATGTGGAAAAGTATGTATGTGATGTGGAAAGGTTTTTATGTGTGTGTGTGTGTGTGTCTGTCTGTCTGTCTCGCTGCAGTTGTTTGACCCATTGTTTGGTAAAACAATACTTTTAACATTTTTTTAAAACAGAATCCTATGTCCGTTTTCTCCTACTCTAAGTACTTCCTCCTGATTGCCTTTTTAATTTTGGTGTTGCATACGTTACCACTGAACTTAGACCTTCAGACCATACTTTCTTAGGGAGTGGTACCACTTAAAAAAGGACAAAGATGAGATTTAAAAGCTTTGAGCATGGGGCTGGAGAGATGGCTCAGCGGTTAAGAACACTGGTTGTTCTTACAGAAGACCTGGGTTCGAATCCCATTACCCACATGGCAGCTAACAACTGTCCTTAACTCCAGTTCCAGGGGATCCGATGGCCTCTTCTGTCCTTGCAGGCATTGCATGACACAGGCACACTTACCTACATGCAGGCAATATACATAAAATAAAAATAATAAATACGATATATATTTTTAAATTTTCTTTATTATTTTTATTTTATGTGTATGAGCGTATTGCCTGCATGTATGTGAGTGCACCCGTGTCGCGCAATGCCTGCGGAGGATCAAAGAGGCTGTCGGATCCCCTGGAACTGGAGTTAAGGACACTTGTTAGCTGCCATGTGGGTGCTGGGATTCGAACCCGGGTCTTCTGCAAGAACAACTAGTCTTCTTAAACGCTGAGCCATCTCTCCAGCCCAATAAATACAATATTTTTAAAAAGCTTTGAGCCCCTCTCTTTCATCTTCCCTGCTCTCCAAAATATCCAAGTAATAAGGAAGTCCTATTGAGCTTACCTGTGCATTATTGCTCCCTCTCTCTTCCCTTTGCTGCCAGCTTAATTTACAGCAGTGATCAGATGTAAACTTCTTTCTCTTTATTTTTGGAGACAGGGTCTCCCTGTAGCCCCAGCCAACCTGGAACTCACTGAGTAGACCAGACTGGCCTCGATCTCACAGAGATCCGGCAGCCTCTGCCTCCAGAGTGCTGGGATTAAAGGCGTGTACCACCACACCCGGCTGATTTAAACTTTTTTTTTTTTTAATTTAAACTTCTTATCTGGACATTTAGGGCACTCGCTGCTATAGTCTTTCAGGGACTAATTTTCATACACACTGTTGCTGTAAATTTTGTTAAAGATTCTAATGATTTGACTACCTGCCCAGGAGTGGCACCACCCACAGTGGACTTGACCCTCCCAAATGACTCAACAAACAAGAAAATGCCCCACAGATATGCCCACTCACCAATCTGATTGAGGAAATTCTTCAGCTGAGGTTCCTTCCTTCTGGGTTTCTTTAGTTTGTGTGAAGTTAACAAAAATCAACCAGGCACACAGGATTTGATCCCACCACCACAAAAATGTCTACTTATTTCCAAGAGAACGTAGTGTGCTTCTTTAGCCTCATGTTCGAAGCCTTTCATTCAGAGCCTTCAGCTAAAATACACTACAAAATGTCTTCTTCGTGTTCTTTATTTACTTATTTGTTTTGATTGAGGGGACAGAGTCTCACTAGTAGCCCTGGACAACCTAGAGCCTGCTATATAGACCTGGCTTGCCTCAAACTTGTGGCAATCCTGCCTCTGACTCCTGAGTGCTGGGATTACAGGCATGTACCACCACATCCAGCTTTCTTACTTGCATTCATTTTTTTTTTTACATTTTGCATGTGTTTGTATCTGTGTGGATACATGCATGTGGAAATCAGAGGAAAAACTTGTGGAATTAGTTTCTCAACTTCCACCATGTGGGATCCAGGGACTGAGCTCAGGTCCTCAGACTTGGCAGTACGCACTTTTACCCACTGAACTATCTTATCTTCCTCTATTCTTTGTATTTTTACATGGGCTGCACATTTCAGTCTACATGCTCTCCCCTCTTCACCAAGTAAACTAATATCCTCTTAGATAATCTTAAATGCCACTATGACTCCTATTTATGGTGGGCGTGGTGGCACACACCTTTAATCCCAGTACTAGAAGAGGCAGAAGCCAGCAGATCTCTGTGAGACGGAGGTCACTCTGATGTACACAGTTCTAGGCCAGCTGTGGCTACAAGAAGACCCTGTTTCAAAAAAAAAAAAAAAGAATCCTACTTACCATTTGCTGAATACCCATTATTAAGTACTTAATGCTCATTTCATTAAGTTAGTTAAGCACCCTACATTCATTACATGACTTCCTTGAGAGCACAGATCAGATTAAAAGGCATGTTTGAATCCATAGCTGTACTGTGTACTTTGTTGACAATGTTTGAGTGACTGAATGATTGCAGTGCTTTTAGTGAGTTTCTATGGAAAGATACAGAAGAAGCATAACAGCTTCTATTCTAGTAAAAGAATAAATAAATCACACACAGACACACAAAGACACTCATGCACACAGCCCAAGACTTCCAGAAGACTAAGTGGAGATAGTATGGAGTGTTGACCATACATGTAGTACAATGTCCATCCAGAAGAATCAAATTTATATAGTAAAAGGAATATTTCAACCTTCAGTGTCAGACATCATTTTGAATTCATGCTTTTCTATGTGTGACTTAGAATTATTTCCTCTCTTCAAAGTGCATCAGTAAAATGGGCATGTTATAGCTTCCTTCATGGGACTGTTGAAAGAATTCAACTTGATAATAACCAAAGTGCCTATTGCAAAACAATAAATGTTTAAAGAAGCTAGATTTTTGTAGAAGTTCCATATATGGGCTTTGTCTCAGAGGTGTTAGGTCAGTTCTAGATGGTGTAAGGATTGGGGGCCTGGGCACTGGCCAGCTAGGCTCAGATTGTGGAGGCATCCAGGAACTTGAAAATGCTGGTGGTAATTCTAAAACTGCCTCAGGGCATACTAATGCCCTGCACACTAAACCTGAATCATTGCCCTAACTTTTGTTCAGCTGCAGAAGCAAAAGGGAGGGAGGGAGGGAGGGAGAAACCCAGGGAAAGAGGAAGAGAGGGAGGAACCCAGGGAAGGAGGAAAGGAGGAAGGGAGGAACCCAGGGAAGGAGGAAGGGAGGAAGGGAGGAAGGCAGGTAGGCAGGTCTGCAGGGGGTATCCCAGCTGCCTTTTCCAGATACAGCGGAAACAGTCTTCACCTTTCTATCACATGAAAGCTCTAGGAGTGCCTTTGACATGCAGTTTCCACAGTCCCAGCCAATTTTGAGAAAGTGACATCAGATTTGCCAGGGTAAATTCTTTTTAAGATTGTTAACTCTCATGTCGACAGTGCTGAAAAACAATGAACTCAAGTTCCTGTACAAAACATACTGTGCAAGCTTTTCAAGCCATTAGTTTCATTAATTCCCCAGCCCTCTATAGCCTATCTTAGTACAGGCAGCAGACGCAGCTGGGCGGTTGTGGGCTCTACTTGGCTGTCGACTCTACATTTAAATATCTAAATGGTGATATGTACAGGCGGAAACCTTAAAGAGTTGAGGTTCATTTTTAGCGCCAAAACTCAAATTCGCGGCTATTTTTAGCGTTTAGTCCCGGCTCTTCCGCTACCAAAAGCCCCTTAAAACTACATCTCCCAGCATGCTCTGAAGCTGGTCTGACCTCATCGCAAATAGCCCCGTAGGGCAACAAGGCTGGTTAGTTTTGACCGTACTACTTGTGCCATAAAAAAAATCGATCCTAATTTGGGCTTTTATATCTGTCAAGCCCTTTTTTGAACTGTGATCATTAAATGAAGGGTTGTAATCTGGAAAGACCCACCTATTCCTGTAATTGGATGAGGGAGCAGGGACACTGTCTCTGGTGCTCTCAATAAGAGGGAATGTTGACCAGGGAGCACCGCTGGGGCTGTTCTTAGGAGCAGGAACCAGAGCCCCGGCTGAGTCCGAAAATCTTAGAATCCAGACTTTGGCTCAAGAACCCTTGGAAGTGGAAGATGGAGGAGCCAGAGGACCTGTCAGACAGTGGGCAGTCGCTGCTCCCGGTTTACATTTACAGTCCCGAGTATGTCAGCATGTGCGACTCCCTCGCCAAGGTCCCCAAACGGGTAAGAGAGGTCTGGATAAAAGACTGTAGGTTTGGGGGAGCAGGGTGGGAGGTGTGCAAAGGAAGCTCATTAGGAAGCAGAGGAGACTGGGCTGGGGAATACCTTCAACTGAAATTGAACTGGCAGTGTCAGGCATCCAAATCTGTAGAAGGAAGTGGCTCCTAACATTTGGGGTACGCAGTTGGACATCCAGGGGACGGGTGGGGTGCGGGTCGGGGGAGGAGGAGACCGCACCGAGGGGAATGGAGTCTCTACTAGTAGGAGATCGCAGAAGTCCTGGAAAAGAAGCAACTGCGGAGAAAGTATTCATCCCATCTCCTGCGTAAGGCCGGGCTTGGCGATTTGGATACTTTGAATCTGTTTTGTCTTAAGTGTATCCAAATGTGAGAACGCTGAAAGGAGGTGAGATAAAGCAGTTAGTTCCTTCACTCGGGATAGTGTTGATGAGATTTCAGTAAATTGAACTTTTAAGAAACTGCCTTCTTTTGCTGTCATTTTAGGCCAGTATGGTACATTCTCTGATTGAAGCATACGCGCTGCATAAACAAATGAGGTAAGTGGCCTTTTTTGAACATGTTCACCCAGGTTCAGCCAGGTGTTCATAGCACCAATACCTTCCTAGTTGGACCAACCAGGGAGAGAATGTTCATAGTACTTGTAATATGTCTGTAACTCAGAGAAAGCTTTTGAAGAATGGAGGACACTTGAAAAAGGCACACAAAGCAGTTACGATCCATTAGAAAAGGGGCTTCGCTGCTAGATGAGTGCTTTTGAGGTGCTAAAATCTGAAAGAAAAAAAAGTTAAGCAGTTCAGTTTTTGTTCTGCATTGTTTGCGGTATGAGGATGTGGATTCAAGTTAAGACTTTTAGACATGCTACCCTACCACCACCACCACCAAAGTTTAAAGCTTGGAGAAAAATCAAGACCCAAACAAACTATTAAGACCAGCATAGAACTCAAGAAGGAGCTAAGTGCTTCTCAAAAACAAACAAATCAAACTTGCTGTTTGTTGACTGCCAGTTCTGTATTTAATGTCATTATAAATGTAACCATTATGGACCTGCCACATGTCATAAGGATTTCTTATGACATTTTCCAGTCAAATGGGTGGGTGTCTATATCACCTAGTGCTTCATTTTCCTCCCAGAAGGCAATATAATAAGCATTCAGATTTTTATCCTGAGTACCAACAGTCATTTTGTGTGTATGTACCTTTCTTTGAGACAGGGTCTCACTATGTAGCCCTGGCTGGCCTGAACCTAACAGAGATCTTCTTGCCTCTGCCTCCCAAGGCAAAATACAGGCATGTGTCATCATGTCCAGCTCTTGTGTACCTTCTTTAGGAATATTTTTCAAACAACAAAATAACCCTTGTGTTTGTCAACATAGATATTTGGCTTTCTTTAAAGTATTTTAACATTTTTCTGAGCCTGATTGTACAGGTCTGTAATTCTAGGTATTTGGAAGCCTGGGGCATGGGTAACTCGGCCACAACCAGCTTCAAATTTTTAGAGGGATTTAAAGGGATTTAGGATAGTGTTCAGTAGTAAAGCACTTGCCTAGCATACTTGTCCTAGATCCAATCCCTAGTACCACTCCCACACAAAATGAACATTTCAAAAAATTATTTTAGCTGGGCTTGGTGGCACAAGCCTTTAATCTCAGCACTATGAGATCGTTGTGAGATCAAGGCCAGTCTGAACACATAGCAAATTCCAGGCTAGCTGGGGCTACACAGAGACCCTGTCTCAAAAAAACTAAAAAAAAATTATTTTATTGCAAACAAGATATCAAAGCAAAACTCACTTCCTTGCTAATAAGCAGAGAGGCTGGTTTTTTGGAGGGTTTGTTTGTTTGTTTTTGGTGTTTTTGAGACAGGGTCTCCCTGTAACCCCAGCTGGCCTTGAACTCACAGAGCTCTACCTGTGGCTGCCTCCCTAGTGCTGGGATTAAAGGCATGCACCACCACACCCTGCTGAAGCTGTATTTTTTTAGCTTTAAGATTTATCAAAATTGTCAGACATAGTGGTGCATGTCTGTAATCCCAGCACTCAGGAGGCAGGGGCAGGCAGATCTCTCTGTGTTCCAGGCCAGCGAGGGCTACATAGTGAAACCCTATTTCAAAAGATTTAGAAAAATAAATGGGAAGGTGCTATGAGAGGGAGCATTTAGGAGGGCTAAGAAACAATCTAATAATTTGTGAAATTTTTATTTTAAACATTTTTATTACATTTATCTTATGTGTGTGTGTACATGTGTATGGGCATGCATGCTATAGTGCATGTGTGGAGATTAGACAATAACTTGCAGGAGTTTTCTCTTCTCTCCCACCATGTGGGATCCCCAGGAGGGACTGAACTCAGGGTGTCAGGCTTCCATCTCATTGGCCCTGAAATTTTTATCCTAAAATTTTTATTTTAAATTTTATTCTAAAATGGACAAATGTTTCACCTCTCATAGTATAAACAAGTGTACTTGAAGAAGATGGAAAATTCCTTGGATTTGACCTTGTGTTTAATTTTTGAGGTTGAACCACATGTTTCAAGCACCTTGGTTATACTAATAATCATCTGTATAACCATATTAATTCACAATAAACTCATGGCTGTGTTCCCATTTAGCAAACATATAAAACCATGGCTACCTCTCTGTGGCCTAGGTTAGTGCTCCTTCAACTTGAACATGCACACAAATCATCTTGTTAAGATATGTGCTCTTGTTAAAATACAAATTCTGATTCACTGGGCCTCAGGTAAGGCTGGAGCTCTGACTTTCTAACAAGCTCCAGGAAATGTCAATGCTGCTGGTCTTTGGACCACCCTTTCAGTGGCAAGGGCTAGAGAACATACCAGCAGAATCCAGAAGAGGAAATGGTAAATAGGCAGGTAGAGGTTAGAGGCCAAAAGTCCTATGTAGACTTGCTTCTGTTATTATCTCCACTCCTTTTGTTACTTACTGTGAGGCGTAGGTTGAGAGGCTCTAACCATTTGCTCCTTCTCTCTTCCTCTGAGAAGCAGATGTAAGAGACCAACTATAGAAACTTTTCATCTTTCAGGGAAATGGGGAGATGGCTCAGCAGGTAAGAGCACTTGTTGTGCAAGCAGGAGACCTGAGTTCAGATCCCCAGAATCCATGTAAAAAGTCAGGCATGGTCATACACACCTGTTACTCCAGTGCTATAGCTGGGGGAGACAGAGACAGGAGGGATGGCTGGGGCTTGCTGGTTACCAGCCAGGTTCAGGTTCAGTGAGAGACCCTGTCTCAAGGGAGTAAGACTGAGAGTGATAGAGAAAGACATATGACATCTTCTTCTGGCCTCTGCATGCACAGGAGAGTGAATGCACATGTGCCCCTACATTATACACATGCACACAGACACACACATTAAATAATAAATAAGTAAATAGAAACTGTTTATATTTGATTTCTCTGTTTTTTTTTTTGAGTCAGGGTCTCATATAGCCCAGTTTGGTCTGGAACTTGCTATGTAGCCTAGCCTGGCCTCAAACTCATGATCCTCCTGCCTCTCAAGTGCTATGATTACAGGCATTTGTCACCATGCCCATATTACCTTTATGTTATTTTTTGGCAATGTTGAGACTCAGACCCAGAGCCTCATACATACTAGGCAAATATTGTACAACTGAGCTATATCCCCAGCTCACATTCCCTATTGTTTATCCTACTATCGATGATAGCTGTTCACCAAGAAGTTTTGTATATTTAGTCTCCACACAAGTCCAATAAGGTGGCCTATTTCACAAATGAGTAAACCGAGGTGCAAAAGAGCCAACTTACCTGAAGTTATAGAACTAATAGGAACAGTTAGAGCAGTAATACAGTTCTCTGGCTCCAAATTCAAAATGTGATAACCCATCTCTCTATTCAAATAAAGGCATATGGGGATTGGGATATAAGGCTCAGCACCAAAACAAAAATAATAAATAAACATCTAACTTGGAAGAATTATATAGTCCAAGTAACAACTGATTCAAATGAAAATATCTCTGTCTACTGGTTTGTCATGAGAGTTGTAACTCAGTGAGTAAACATAATCTATACAGCTGACCAGATCTAAATGCTATTACTATGGCCTCAGCAGCTGAAAGATTTTTTTGTCAATCTGAAACATTATTCAGCATGGCTCAATGTAATTTGCTGGATCAGTGAGTTTTTAAGTACAGTTTAAAATTTTATTTATTTGGGTGGTGTATGTGCATGTGCCACAGAGTGCATGTGGAGGTCCAAGAGGAGCTTGCAGAGGAATTCAGTTCTCTCCTTCCACAGTGTGGGTCCTGGGGATTGAACTCAGGTTGTAAGGCTTGGCAGCAGGTGCCTTTATCCCCTGAGCCATCCTGCTGGCCCTGGGTGAGTGAGTTCTATGTGGCTAAACCAGGGACCCAATCCATGGTTATTTTTTAACTTAAATGTAATTTTTCACTTATTTCACCCTATCTATAAACCCAAAGGAAAGTCTGTCCTATTGCCCTTATTAATGGTGTGAACACAGTAGATGGGAGGAAATGAAGACAGCAGTACAGTGGAGAGACAGAATGTTTATTACTTCAGCTCACTGGAACCAGAACTGGGAGTTGTATTTTGTGCTCACACTACTGGCTGCTGTTTCCAGCACCTTGCATACTTTGGATCTGACTCATTCTCCTCTTTGTTCCTTCTGTAATTATTAGGATAGTGAAGCCCAAAGTGGCCTCCATGGAGGAGTTGGCCACCTTCCACACTGATGCCTATCTGCAGCATCTCCAGAAGGTCAGCCAAGAAGGTGATGAGGACCATCCAGACTCCATAGAATATGGACTAGGTAAAGGTTTTCTCAGGCAATGATGGGAGGCTGATAGCCCCACCTGTATTTTATGCTACTTAATTTGTCTTTGTGTTTATATGTGTCCGTGTTCACATGTTGGAGCGCACATATGTGTATTGGTACACAGGTGGAAGCCAAAGGTCAACATTGTTGTCTTTCTTAATCACTCTGCACCTCAGTTTTTGAGACAGTCTCTCACTGAACCTGGAGTGCACCAGTTTGGCTAAGCTGGTTGGCCAATGATCCAGGTATCCATTTGTCTCCAGTGCTATTTCACATTCATGCCTCTTCCTCCCAGGTTTTACATGAGTGCTGCAAATCTGAGCTAAAGCCCTCATCCTTGTGCAGCAGGCACCTTACTGACAGAGTCATCCCCTACCCATTAATACTTTTTAATTAAAAGATATGTTAACGTGTGTATGCCTGTGTGTGTGTGCGTGTGTGTGTGTGTGTGCACGCGCACGCTTTACTGAAGATGGAACCCAGAGCCTTGCATGTGTTAACTATACCCCAAGTGTCCATTTTAATCTTTGGTTTAGTCACCTAAAACTCGCTAACTGAGTAAACTACATGAGTTGTGGAAAACTGAACAATGGGCCTAATGGAGAAAAATCCTTTCAGTTGCTGAGATCCAAATGGCAGCCCTTAGATCTGCTCTGGCTATATATATATTTGAATTTAGCTGTTCTGTAATCATATACTTGACGTGAAGGATTATATATTCTGGCTGAGTTTTCTACCTTACCCTCATTAACAGATGCACTAAAAAAGAAAACATGGGCTGGAGAGATGGCTCAGCAGTTAAGAGCACTGGGTGCTCTTGCAGGGAACCCAAGTTCAGTTCCCAGCACCCACATGGTGACTAACAACCGTCCATAACTCCAGTTTCAGGGGATCCAACACCCTCTCTAGCCTCTTTGGGCATTGCACAACATGACTACACTTACGTGCAGGCAAAACACTAATGCACATAAAAAATAAAAATAATAAATAAAATTAAATAAAAAAACATTGTAAGTTGTGAACAGGATAGTCTAGAGCAAGCATATCCAACCTGCAGCCCACAGGCCACATGCCTTCCAGGAAGTTATGAATGGGGCCCAATTCATTTGTCAATGACAAATTATACCACAATGTGAAAAAGTTGGATACCCTGTTCTAGAGAAACAGCATGGGTTGGTAGAAGAACATTAGAATGAGTGTCAAGACACCTGGGTTTCAGGCCTGAATCTATCTGACCACTGGCAAAATACATCACCATTCAGACCTTGATTTCACCACCTGTGGGATGTAAGGAGTTCATCTTGAAGGCTTGTCCTTTCTAGCTCTAATGTTTTAAAGTCCCTAGCATTGGAGATGCATCTGTCTTAATAAGAGCTGATGGCAGCACAGCAGCTTTTTAGTAGGCTATGCTGTTGTCACACCTCAAGCTAGTCCTCCTTTTCCAGGTCATATTTAACAGTCTTGTCTGGGTTTTTTCCCCCAGGTTATGACTGCCCAGCCACTGAAGGGATATTTGACTATGCAGCGGCTGTAGGAGGAGCTACAATCACAGCTGCCCAGTGCCTGATTGATGGGATATGCAAAGTAGCAATTAATTGGTCTGGAGGGTGGCATCACGCAAAGAAGTAAGGAAATGATCTTTTTGCTTTCTGACCCTTTCCTTGAGTCAGTTTCTCAGTTAGGTAAACTTGTCTGCTTATTATACTGACATTTATTGGAAAACATGTATGTGTTTAGCATTTTATACAGTGTTCCGAAGAGATGCAAGTAAAATAGTTGATTACCTAATATTGTGGAAAGCACTCTATTGAAAGCCAAGATATCTGGGCTCTATGCCTAGCTTTTCTAAAAATTTGGCTAAACCTCCATAGGCCTCAGTTTCTTCATCAGTAAAAAGGACAGGGATAAGGGTATAACTAGGCAGCCTATAAATTCCTCTTTTGGCTTACTAGAAATTTCCCTGTCTTCAGGGGCTTGACTCTAGAAACATTAACAGAATTAGAATAATCAGGCAAGAACATGAATTGTGATGCCAGTGGAATATGTATAATATATGTGCTGAATCGATTAGCACCAGGGAGAAATTAATCACGGAAGTCTTGGAAGAGGTGCATTTTACAACTAATACTAGACATAAGTAAGAAGCAGGTTTTTGAATAAGTGGATAATTGATGAGAATAGATTTAGAACAAAAGATTGAAAAAATTAAGACGTCTTGTACTACCACATCCAAGGAAAAGTGATAACTCAGATACCTCTCTAGGGAAAAAATGGATCTTCTTAGGTATTGCTTGGGGTTAGAGCAAAAGGCCTAAAGGAGTTTTGTGTTTGCATATGAAACTGCCGTACTCTGTCTGACAAGAACTACTGTGCCTTCTTCAATGTCTGGAGTCTTTTTTTTCCTATGTTAGTGTAATACATGTTGGGGGAGGGGCATTTCACAACTGAATTTATCAGTGTGCCATCTGAGGGAAAGGAAGTGGCTGTCTTGTGTGTCATTTCCAAGTCTGTTTAGTGCAACCAACCAAGGCCTTGATACTCTTAGATGGTCTTGAGTTAAGAAGAAGAAAAAAGCAGCACTTGATTTTTCAGAAGAAAATGCACTACAATTTTAGCATATACAAATTTGCTATTATAGTATGGTGTTCTTTTCTGAATGGACAGATTTCCTGACCAAAGAAGTCCTTGAAATAAATCACTAGAATCTACTACTTCAGCAATAGAAATTGATGCTTTAGTCATGATTTTACATAGTCTTAAAGAAAACAGCCTGCCTTTGTTAGCTTTTGCTTTATTTTTTAAAGTTCAAAATAAGAACAATGGCCTTTTCTTATTGAAGCTAAGGAATGAAAATAGAGAACCAAGGTTCTCTGACTCAAGGTTCGATCTGTATCCTCTTGGGCTTAGTCAGTAAGGAAGCAAAGTAGTGTAGTATCATAGCCAGTATCTGCTCTTGCAAGCATGTTTTTGCCCCCGTGTGATTCAATTCCCTGCAGACCTCTTAGGGTTTGGGTCAGTTTCAGATCCTTGTCACTCAGCACTCTTTTGCTGCCAAAGGACATGTACTCTAGTCAAGCTAGTTATGACTGGCTGGCTGCATGCAGGTATGAATGTACCCATATATCATTAACTGTTGAGGACAGCTTTCAGCTGATCTTGCCTGGAAAGACATATTTGTGGTGAATGTAAATTACAGAGAATTTCTAGGGATTGACCCAATTCAGGTCTGAATTCTAAGTTGTTGGCTTCCCTAGAACCTCTCTGAGGAGGGGCTACAGGCTCACAAGGTTACATGTAGCTAGCACTTACCTATTATTGTTGTTACTGCAAATTTTGGGGAGCCTTACCTGGGTCTCACCTGTTATAGGGGAAGTTGGAGCCCTGTCTCAGGGTTTTTAGCCTCAGTAATAAAATAATTTAAGAACAGACTCAGAAGGAAACACAAGAATACTTTTATTAGATTAAAAGAAAAACTTTAAGGCACGCAAGCTACAAATCTTGGCAGCTGCCCAGAGGAAGAAGATGGAAATGAAGAAGAAAGAAAAATTATGCCCTTTGTAAGCAGCCACATGGGGGAAGTTTGGGATGGGGAGAACAGATTCAGAGAAAAAGAGTAAGAAAGTCCATAACTCTGTAGAAGCATATCCAGGCTATGGCCAGTATCAGAAAGAAAGAGAAAAGAAAAAGGGAAAGTTACACTTTTCTGAGTAATTCAGAAAAGCAGGCAAGTACTGCACTTTGGGTGGGGTTTCTGGGAAGAAAAAACACATTATCTCTTTCAGGGAATAATTGTTCCTCCAGTGGCTTTAGGTGAATCTGCTTCCCGAGGGATAGCCTCTTGACCAGGTGATTGACAGACGTAGCTGGCTTAATTCTTATGTTTTGGGTAACTTGGAATGTTAGGTCTCCACCCAGGGCCAGAGATAGAACTCAGATCCTATTTTTATGACCAGGAGGAAGTAGTTTTTTCCTTAATGGGTCTCAACAAAACCCAGATATCCTCCAAGACTACTGTAACAGTCCCCCTCTTAAGAGGTAACCCTAGCATTTAGGAGATAGGCTGAAATTGAAGTATAGATATAAACTATTTCCTAGACCAAATTTATTGCTTGACTTTTATCTGCATAACAGGCAACCTTTACTTGCCATGCATTTTCTCCCCTCACCCTCCTATACTTTGTCTCTACAAAGACAAAGTATTCCCCGGAAGCTCCAAACCCTTGTTCTGTAGCTCAGGATACTATGTAGCCTTTAATTGTCTGACCCTTCTTTTAGTATCATATTTTTGCAAGGTTTTCATATGTATGAAAGTAAATAAAACTATTTTCCCCCTGTTAATCTGTTTTAGTCTATTGAACTCATAGTCCAACCAAAAACCTAGAAGGAGGCATTTTTCCTTTCCCAACACAGACCATTGAACAAACTGTCTTTGGGGCTGGTGACTTACATACCACTTCTTTGTACTTTCTTAAATTTCTACAGTTACTGTTACTGCGCCTAAGAGAATTTACCTGGGAGTTTAACATCATTCCCCTTGATTCAGTGGTTGGTTTTCCTTAATACTTTGCCGTGGGCCAAGCGCCATCTGCTGGCAGCCAACTGTTATGGACGCTTCATGACCTCTAATATGATTCATTGTTTCTCCCTCCCTCCCCTGCCCCCTTTCCTTCTTTGCCTCAACTCTCTGTAGCCAAGGATGACCTTTAATTCCTGATCTTCCTACCTCTACCTCCAAGTGCTGGGATCACAGGCACACCTGGTTTATGTGGTACTGGGGGTCCTCCTGCATGCAACTAAGCTACATGCCCAGCTCCAAAAGTTTCTCTTTTTTCATTGCTGGAAATTGAAGCTAGGACCTCATGAATGCTAGGCAAGTACCCTATCATTATATTTTATCTGGTATTTCATCTTTACAAGTATGTACATTTAAGGTGATTGGTCTTATCTGGGCACACTGTTTTGAAGATTATCAGTGTATTTGATGATGTACCTTACTTTGATTTCAAAAAGGCATTTCTGTTGAGATCTCTTTCCTGTTAATGTATCTATGTTCTTCATCAAATGTTCACTTTACATTTTTCCTATAGTCTGTAAAGTATGCCTCCATAAATTTTTTAAATTTTAAGAGGAGGTCACGTCACTTCATTTTTTTCCTTCAGTCTCCTCACAATCTTTTATATGAGTCTCTTCATGATTTGGGGAAAAGAAAAGGTTTAATAGTGTAGTATTGGGATGTCCTTTGTTAAGGAAAAAAGTCAATTATGAAACACATTGGGAAATTAATAGGTACAAGACCCACTGCAATGGGCCATGGGTTCTCTGTTCTAAGAGAGATTGTGTTCTCCTCTGAGTACAGCCTGGGCAAGTAGGAATGTCAGATAGAAAGTCACAGGTGAAAAATTAAAGATGGTCTGGGGAGATGGCTCAGCATGGCTGTTCAAGCATGAGAACCAGAGTGCAGATCCCAAGAACCCCCGTAGAAGTTGGACAAGTGTCATGGGTGCCTGTAATCTCAGCAGACGAGGCAGAGTTGATTCCCAAGGGTAAGCCTGGTAACCTAGACTATGCAGAATCAGTGAACTCTTGAGTTCAAGAGACCCCTCAATAAATAAAAGTGGAGAGTGATCAAGGAAGACTCTCTAGACATCAATATACACATACACATATGTCAACATGTACCCAAACACATATGAACCACCACACATGTGAACACATCAATACACACATACACACACACACACACACACACACACACACACACACACACACACACACGAAAGTAAAGAAGAGTCCACTGAAGGAGAGTTCTGCTACATTGATTATTACTGAAGATAAGCCAGGATGATGAGCTCTCACCCATGGAATAGTGAGGGATAAAGAACTTGATCAGATACTAAGGGTGGAAGTTTATGTTTAAACTGATATGAAAAGGTTCTCTGCTAAAACTGTATTCTATAAGGAAGTGCACAGGTGGGTCTAGAAATTTCAGAGTGAGTTGAGTTTAGCTAACAAAGAATCTATCACCTTCAGTTCTGTGTAGCAAAGCTGTACAGGATACAACTGTTTCTATCTAGTTCATTAGCACACTCAGGAGCAGTACTTAATTATATGCAGGAGAATGAAGAATGCTGAGTAGAAATATTATATTCATTTATTACTTAAGGCTTCATATAGGACTAGAGTTTTAATGGGCATCAACAGCTATTTCTATTACCTGCTTATATTGCTGACAATATACAGTCTCTTTGTTGTTGTTTTTTGAGATGGGATCTCACTGTGGAGCCAAGGCTAAAACTTATAATCCTCCTGCCTCAGCCTCCTGACTGCTAGGATTACAAGTGTGTACCACCATGCTTGGAGCAGTAATTTCTAAGATATAATTTGCATTTGAGAAAATGCTTTTTAAAAGGATGCATAGTAAGAATAGAAATTAAATAATGTTGTGACAGCTTGTAGCATTTATATTCTCATTTCTTTTAATAAACTAAAATTAGTGGCAGTTGGATTCAAGAGTTAAATATAAAAAGGCAAATTATAAAACTAGAATGAATGAATATTTATCAAGCTTCTAACAGAGAAGAGCATTCTAAGTTTAGGATGTAATGGGAAATACTCTCAAGGAAAA